TCCCTCCCCTCCCCCTCACCCCACACCTCACCTCTCTGGCGCCCACAGTATTATCAGGAGGAGGTGTTGGCCAAGTGCTGGCGCTGCCTTGAGTCAACACCTTATTGCGTTGCAACCACTACTACTACTACTACTACTACTACTACTACTACTACTACTACTACTACTTTTTAACGTGGTCTCCATCCTACCCTATGTACACCTTCGCCGCCATTTTATTACCTTAAAATTAAATGCCTAGTACATAAGTAGATATCCACTACTACTACTACCATCTTACACCAGCACATCCACACACTTATCTAGGCTCACCTACGACAATCTTAACGCACACACACACACACACCACTACCACTATTCCCACCACCACCACTATTCCCACCACCACCACCCCACCACCACCATACCACTCATCACCACCACTACTCCCACTCTCCACCACTACTCCCACTCACCACCACTACTCCCACTCACCACCACTACCACCCACAAATCGAGCAGATGTCACAAATGGCAGTAGTAAGTGAGGAAGAGGAGAATCTGTCTCCTAGTGTGGTCCTCTGATCATTGTGTGTTAGTCTCTGATGGTTCTCTAGAGGCGACGACCCCCCACACACCATTTGGACGACCCCTAGAGACTTACCACTATCATCCCTTCTCATTTCCCTCACCCCCCCACCTCCTCACCTCCACCCCACACCAAATAATAATAGATAGTATGTAATAATAATACACAGCCACCGCACAGGACCTTCACAGACACGAGCGAGGGGGAGGGGGTGAGAGGGTGAGGGAGGGTGGGGGTGAGGTGAGGGATGAGGGATGAGGGGTGGTATCTGATCATAAGGGAGGTGCGTGACAGCTGGCTAGGTCAAGTAAGTAACATAAGACGGCCCCAGAATCATACTCTCACACGTGCACCGGTGACCGACTGACCGTCTCTGGGTGGAGTGGGGGGGTGAGTGAGGTGAAGTGAAGGAGGTGGGGGAAGAGGAGGAAGGGAGGGTGGAGGAGAAGGAGGAAAGGAAAGGAAGGAGGGAGAGAAGATGAAGGAGGAGAAGGAGGAGAAGGAAGGTCGTGTTTGTATTGAGAAAGAGAAAAGTAGTAGAGGTGATGTTGGTACTGCCTCACCCCCCTCCTTCCTCCATTTACCAACTGTTTCTCACTAACACAAAATGTTTTTTCCTATCTCCATTACCTCCCTCCCTTCATTCTTACCTCACATCCTCCCTCTACCCTTTGTCCCTTTCCTTACCCCCAATACCCCTTTGTTACACCCCATACCCCCACTTAACTCTCTATTACCATGTTGTCACCCCCTCTCTTACCCCCCACCACTCTACCTCCCCCCACCATTCTACCCCCCACCACCACTACCTCCCCACCCTCACCTCCCCACCACCACTCACCTCCCCCACCACCCTCTACCTCCCCACCACCACTCTACCTCCCCCCACCTTCCCCCCACCACCACTCTACCTCCCCACCATCAACTCCCCCCCCACCACTCTACCTTCCCCACCACCACTCTACCTCCCCCACCACTCTACATCCCCTTCTCCTCCTCTCCCCTCAATTCCTCACTGAAAAATATAATAATAATATGTAATAATAAAAACAACAACATACTTTAAATAACAACAAACAATTACAAAACAAATAAAATAAACCCAGAAAAATAAAATAAAAAAATAAAAACAACAAATAACAAAAACAGTAAATAACAACTAATTCCGCCTCATCTGCCACCGTCTGCCAAGAGGTGATTTAAGACAACTGTGGCAGGTAAGGCAGGTGAGACGGGAACCAGCGGTCAATGTGCCGCTTATTGTGACCGTGGTCTGGTTTACGGCTCTACTGGACACACACACACACACGCACACACACACACACACAGGGGATCAACACACCACGATTCATATTTTTATTATTATTCTTATTATTATTATTATTATGAGGTGGGTTGGGTCGGATGGTGCTTGGGTGGGTTGGGTTGGGTTAGCCTGGGTGGGGTGGGGTGAGTGAGTGCTGCGCCACCCTACTTTTTAATTTAATTGATAATTAAGTCATAAGATACGGCCATGGGGTTATTTTCGATCCATGACTGATTGGGTATTACTCTCTCTTTTTTTTTTCTCTCTCTCTCTCTCTCTCTCTCTCTCTCTCTCTCTCTCTCTCTCTTCCTCATTCATCAAGGTCTTTTTCTCACTTCTCCTCCATTTATCTCTCTCTTTTCTCTTCCCCTCTTCTAACAACCTCTCCTTGTCCTCAATTTTCCTGTCTTTTCTTCAATCTTTATCTAACCCCTCCCTCCCTTCCTTCCTTCCTCTCCCTCCTCCTTCCCTTCCCTCACCCTTTCTCCTCTTTCCTCACCTTCCCTCCTCCCTTCTTTCCTATCCTCTTCTTCCTTCCCTTACCCCCATCCTCCTTCCTCACCTTTCTCCCTCCCCTCACCTCCTCCTCCTTCCTTTCCCTCGGCGTGACCATAACGTCCCACAGAGAGGAAATGTGTTTACACTATCTGGGGGAAACACACTTAAGTGAGGGTTGCCCTTGGATGTGTTTGCAGCTACGGAGAAGGGAAGAGAGGGAGAAGAGGAAAGAGGAAGGGGTAGGAGGTGGCTAAACAGAGGTGTGGGAGGGAGTATAATGAGAGGAAGGTGAGAAGGAAGAGGTAGGTAGGAAAGGAGGCAGTATAGGAAGTAGTGGTGGGGTCGTCTGAAGAGGAGGGAGGGGGTGAAGTGAGTATGAGTTATATTTCCGGTTGAGTTTTAGTAGTTAACACACACACACACACACACACACACACACATCTACTGCATTTTCGTAGAAAAAAAAAAAGACCTTTAGCTTCCCTACCACTATCAGACAACCACCACTACCACAATTACCACTACCAGCAGCACAACAGACCACCACCACACCCCTGACATAAACCAGAACGTGTTGTGACGTGAGGACCCCCCCCCACCCCTTCTTCCTGCACGTGGCTCCACCTCCCCATCAACAGCACGTGGTCACCCCCCAACCACACTAGTACTAAACACTGTATTATGGTCCCCTCTCTTTCTCTCTCCACATCCAGCTGGTCCTAGGCAGCCGTTCAACAGAAACGCCACTTAACCGTCCAGCGACCCCTTACACACACACACACACACACACATTTCTCATTTACTCAATTACTAGTTCTCTCTCTCTCTCTCTCTCTCTCTCTCTCTCTCTCTCTCTCTCTCTCTCTCTCTCTCCATTATCCTCACCCCTACCTCCTCTTTTATCAATAACTCTCCCTCTCTCACCCAATCACTGTCCCTCTCTCCCTACCCTTCCTTACTACTTTCCCTCACCATCCTCTCACTCACGGGGACCCTCTCACCCCTCCCTCACACCCTCTCCTCGTCAGCTGTGTAACAAGACATCAATCATCTCTTCACTCGGTTGCCTCTACTTAGATAATTATCAGTGAAATAATTTAGAGAGAGAGTTTAGGGTGATTAATCGTGAAATATCTCTCCTTAACATAATTTCCTACGTGGATATTAATTATTATATTTGTTCACTCATACATACATACATACATACATAAAATATCCACCACACACACATACATATCTTTCCTTCACATACCTACCTAGCATCTCTCTCTCTCTCTCTCTCGTGGTGATACAGCGTGGCGTTACCTGGACAGCCCGACTCAATGTGCTAATATGCAAATGAGGTCAATTTTGGTTTTAGTACCCCGTCCTTCCTAATGTTTACCTCACTCATCCTCACCTGCCTGCCCCTACCCCCCCCTCCCCCTCTCTCATCTAACTCCCCTATTCCTCCTGGTGGTGGTAGAGATGGAGGGTAGTGTGGTAGGTAGTAGTGGTGTACCCCTCCCCCCACCCCAATACTACACCGCAGCAGCTGCAGCCAAAATCAACACCCCTCTCTCTCCCCTCCCTTCTTCCTTCCTCTTTCTCATGTCTTTATATCTTTCTTCCTCTTTTATTCTTCTCGTCTTCCTTCCTTCCCTTAACCCCTCCTTCCTTCTCCTTACCTCCTCCCCTCCCCCTACCTACCCTCTTCCTCCTCCCCTGCACTACCCATACCTTCATCCCCTACCCTCCCCTCCCTCCCTCATCCCCCCCTATCACACCCTCCCCTATGACGCTCAAATTACCTTTACACTGCAACAAATGGTTCATTGCATTCAAGGCCCCCCCCCCTTAACACGTGTTCTCTATCCTCTCCCCTTTAATCTTCACCCCTTAATAAGTCAATATTTACCCCTTTATCCACTGAAGTGTACTGAAGAAACCCCCTTAAATCTTTGACCCTTTGGCCACCTAAGACTCCACCCCTTTAACCACCTAAATCTCCACCCCTTAACCACCTAATACTCCACCCCTTTGACCACCTAAATCTCCACCCCTTTGACCACCTAAATCTCCACCCCTTAACCACCTAATACTCCACCCCTTTGACCAAAAACTCCACCCCTTTGACCACCTAAATCTCCACCCCTTAACCACCTAAATCTCCACCCCTTTGACCACCTAAAACTCCATCCCTTTGACCCCCTAATACTCCACCCCTTCCCTTCAAATCCACCTCCAAACCCCTACAACATCTCTCTCCAATCCATCCCCTCCTATCCACTCATTTATCCACGGTTCTTCTCCTATCCACTCCTTCACACCCATTTATTCACGTTTTTCCTCCCATTCAACCGGTTATTTGTGGGTCATTAGCGCGTAATTACCCAGGTGTAACATTAATTACCTCCAGGTATATTAATTTTAATACCTGGAAAATGATGCAGGGTCAATTAAGCTTAGAATGAGGTCAATTAGGCTTGAAATGGGGTTAATTAGGCACAAGATAGGATCAATTAGACATACAATGGGAGGTCTAAATATTCCCCTCCCACCTTCCCTAGGCCTAAATATTTCCTACCTGGGCGGACCTACCTGATGAAGTGCTAATGAACAGGTGTAACATTAATTAGTGAGGCTTACCTGTACGCTGTGCCTTCTCCCGTCTCGACTTGATGGTTCGGTCTCGTCTTCTCGTGGTCTCTTCCGTATCCGAGTGGTCAGCGTCGTTGTCCTCGAGGCTCTCCGCCGAGGCCAAGTACGAGGTCGTGACTCCCGTGGGGCCTCGAGGGAGTGAGTTAGATGACGAGGAAGACGAGGACGAGGATGATATCGAGGACAAGGGGCGGTAGACATCCTTGAACTTACGAGGGTCAAAGCCGACTGAGGGTGAAGGAGTGTTCTTATTTACCGAGGACGAGGTGTTGGAGGTGGAGGTTGAGTTGGAGGTGGAGGTTAAGTTGGAGGTGGAGGTTGAGTTGGAGGTTGAAGTGGAAGTAGAGCACTGTGGAGCCGCCTTAGGTTTTATGAGGAACTGAGGCTCGGCGTAGATATGCTCCCTCTTATGTAATCTCTTATCCAAGTTATCGTAGCCCTGTGGAGGGGCGGCGTCCAAACCTCTCTCAATATCCTCAAACATTGAAGTAATCGATTCCGCCAGACTCACTTTGACGCTACACCTACACTTCTCCCTCTGTGTCCTGCTGCCTACACCACATTTATCACACTTGATGTTATTATTCACCAGGTTCTCATTGTCTAAGTCATTCTCTTCGATAAATAACCTCTCTTGGCGTTTTGTCGAAGTCTGCCCTGCTAATAACCCATTTTCTTTGACACTTTGATAACCGTTTTCTTTGACACTTTTAAATCCGTTTTCTATAGCACCACTATTTGCATTTTCTTTGGTTGATAGTGTGTCTTCCTGATAGACTTTTCTTAAATCTAAATTGCTATTATGAAGTCCCAGTAAAGTACCAGTTTTCTCCTCACTGACTCCTCCACCTCCACCAGTACCTCCTCCTCCTCCTCCATCACCCCCTCCTCCTCCGTCAGGCGCTTTAGGTGGGGGTATATCAGTGCCTTCGTTCAGCCTGGCGTAGAGAGCATCGTACATGTTAAGCAGCGTCGGCACCAGGTCTGTCGATATGCCTGTAACAGAGACAAAAAAAAGTACCATTAATAATAACACTAACAATAACAATAACAAACATAACAAGAAACAGAGACACTAACATCCCCTACCCAACCAACCTCCCCCCCCCACTCCCCCCAACAAGGCCCGGAACTGTAAATAAACCATTAAACCGCAATGTTTTACCCAACTTCCTAAACCTGCTTCACTTTTTTCCTCTCTTCGCCACATCTTGAGGGTCGATAGTCCTCCTGTGTGTGTGTGTGTGTGTGTGTGTGTGTGTGTGTGCGTGTGTGCGTGTGTGGTTTAGTAAAAGACCTCTCCTTTCTCCCTCCTTGCTTCCTTCCTTCCTTCTCTCCCTCCCTCTTTTTCACCTTCGTATTTTCCTTCCCCACTGAGTCCGTCCTTCTAGCCTTCCATCCCTTCTCTCCCCCCTTCCTCCCTCTTCCATTTTCTCTCTCCTTCCTTCCCTCCCTGACTCCCACCTCTCTCTCTCTCTCTCTCTCTCTCTCTCTCTCTCTCTCTACTTCACAACTCGGAGCTAAAGTAAAGGGAATCAATCCATTTCATAAGTCGTATTCAATCCACGAACGAGATGGATCATAACACATATAAACAAGTAAAGACCCAAAGATAAACAAAATACACAAGGAGTAAACAACAAAAATAAGGCAAAGGAGAAGAACAAGAAGAAAGATGTTAGAAGAAGAAGAAGAACAAAGAAGAACAAGAACAACAAGATGAAGAAAGAACAAGAAGAAAGATGTTAGAAGAAGAACAAGAAGAAAGAAGAACAAGAACAACAAGATGAAGAAAGAACAAGAAGAAAGATGTTAGAAGAAGAACAAGAAGAAAGAAGAACAAGAACAACAAGATGAAGAAAGAACAAGAAGAAAGATGTTAGAAGAAGAACAAGAACAAAGAAGAACAAGAACAACAAGATGAAGAAAGAACAAGAAGAAAGATGTTAGAAGAAGAACAAGAAGAAAGAAGAACAAGAACAACAAGATGAAGAAAGAACAAGAAGAAAGATGTTAGAAGAAGAACAAGAACAAAGAAGAAGAAGAAGATATATGAATAATAAACGTGTATATAACGGAACCAATGTGGTATAGCAGCATGAAGACTCGACCCATGGTTCAACCCCTCACCCTCACCTTAACAATATGTATGACCTCTTGACCTCCTACCGTTAACCCCCTTCCACCCCTCTCACTGGACAAACCCCCTCCCCTTTCACTGGACAAAACCCCTCCCCCCTCTCACTGGACAAAACCCCCTCCCCATTCACTGGACAAAACCCCTCCCCCTCTCACTGGACAACCCTCCCCCTTCTGGACAACCCCCCCCCACCCTTACAGACCAAGCCTAAACTGAACACTCGGGATTTTGTCCATCGTTTTACCTCTTTAGTTTACGTAGCCTTTTGTCCAGTGTCTATAAACCTCTTCATCATCCTCCTCCTCTTTCTCTTCATCTTCTTCTCCTCCTCCATCTTCATCTTCCCCTCTTCCTCCTCCTTCTGCTACTCCTCCCCTCCTCCTTCTTCCTCCCCTCCTCCTCCTCAACACAATGCACAAACTACCTCGCCTCATCATTGTCCTTCACGCTTCATCTCCTCTTTCTTCCCTCCCTCCTCCTCTTCTTCAGCTTCTATTTCTTTCCGTTTTTCTCGTTTATTATTTATTAATATTTTTCCTCCTCCTTTTATTTCTTCACTTCCTCCTCATCATTTTCCCCCTCCTCCTCCTTCTCCCTCTCCTCCCTCTTCTTTCTCTAGTTATCTCTTCCCCTCTTATCCCTCTAGTCTTCTCCATCTTATTCTTCTTATTATTGACGTCTTTATTGTTATTACTACTATTATCACCATTTATCTCATTTTTACTAGAATTATTACCACCCACCTTTCCCCTCCCTCTCTAAATCCCCCTCACCCCTCCCTCTCTAAATCCCCCTCACCCCTCTCATCGACATTCCATACCAATATATACCCACATCAGCCATCAGCCGTGCCCAACTGCCCAATTGGATCGTTATGATGAGTCAAACCATTCCTGAAGGTAATTTATTGAACGGCTGCATCCTGGTTCGGGGGGTTATTCTCATACTCTCAGCCAATCACAATCAAGGTTTGAAATTTTTTACCATTGTAAGGATTGATCTGATTGGTTCACTTAAGCTACGATATAATAGAGAGATTCTTATGGTATGTTATCTTCACCAATGTAATGCACACGTGGGGCTGTATCACACACACACACACACACACACACACACACACACACACACACACACAAACACTAACACGCACACAATTTCAGATTCTACGACAAGGTTAATCAAATCGCCGTGTGTGTGTGTGTGTGTGTGTGTGTATGTGTGTGTGTGTGTGTGTGTGTGTGTGTAAAATTAGGCCAGGGCGGAAGGTCAGTCAGGGGAGGAGGGAGGCGGTATATTACAATCTAACTGATATGATAATGTGTGTCTTTACCCCCATCTTTACTCTGACCCTCCTTTCCTTCCTACCTCCTCCTTCCTTCCTTATCCCCTCTTTCTTCCCTTCCTTCCTCACTCCTTCTTACTCCCTCCTTATCTCTCCTCCTCCACTACCTTCTCGCTCTCCCCTACCCCTTTACTCTCCCCTCCCTACCTCCCTCACTCTCCCCCCTCCTTACCTCCCTCACTCTCCCCCTCCTTACCTCCTCCCCTCTCCCCTCCTCCCCTCCTCTCCCCCTCCCTACCTCCTCACTCCCCCTCCCTACCTCCCTCCTCCTCCCTAACTGGACAATTAGTGTGTTGTATCGTTAATTTCTAGGCCATTCACAGACCTTTTAAGTGACGCGCTACGTGAGTTCCCTCGTGTAGGGATTAATTATTAGAATGAATTAAATGCGTAGCCTTAGTCTGCCAGTAGGATGAGAGTCTGGGACCATCCTACACATCCTTAACACATCCTTGGCAGTGTCTGAGGGAGAGAGAGAGAAGAGAGAGAGAGAGAGAGAGAGATAGTCATTCATATTCATCAGACAGAGTGACTCACTGTCTGTCTGTCCTCACTACTGTTATTTGTACTGATGAACGAGGAGGAGAAGAAGAAGAAGAAGAAGAAGAAGAGGAAGAAGAAGAAGAAAAGAAGAAGAAGAAGAAGAAGAAGAAGAAGAAAGAAGAAGAAGAAGAAGAAAGAAGAAGAAGAAGAAGAAAAAGAAGAAGAAGAGAAATCACCGTTTATCTGTCTGTCTTCATCCCCCAAACAGTGATGAATGAGGTAGGAGTAAACAAGGAAGACGAAAAGAAGGAAGAGAGGAAAAACAGGCGATAAAGAAGGAGGAGGAGGAGGAAGAGGAGGATGAAGAAGAGGAAGAAAGAAGAAGAGGAGGAGGAGATCATCAAGACAGATAACCCAACCAAATCTTAGCCACTGATTAGGAAGCTGTTATCTTACCTCCTATTGTAGTTACGACAACAACTATTACGACAACAACTATTACGACAAGTCACGCACAACTACCACCCTCCTTCCTGACCACTATCACCACCTCGACGACTACCACCATCATGGTCTACCACAACTACTATCATCTTGACAAACATCACCATCTACCACAACTACCACCATCATCTACTACAATTACCCCTCTCGACAACCACCATCACAACTACCACCATCTCTAAGACCACTGAAGGAGAGGAGCGGGCGGGCGGGCGGCGTGACTTTGTCGAGTCATGGGGGTGGTTGTGGGTTGGGCTCTATGTAAGTGGGTGGTTCCAAACACAAACAGAGGTGTGTGTGTGTGTGTGTGTGTGTGTGTGTGTGTGTGTGTGTGTGTGTGAACATATGGGCGTAAGAGGTGGATCTAGCATGTATGTGGGGTAATTTTAAGCGTACTGTATGTGTGTGGGCGTAGGTGTGGTGTGGGCGTAGGTGTGGCTAGCTAAGGCACGTTATGGCCCACCTGAGGGCAGTGGAGTGACCGAGCAGGAGCCGTTCAATACTCCCATCACTGTGTAGGAGGGAGGGTGGAGGGTAGGGAGGGGAGTGATGGAGGAGGGTAGGTGAGGGTAGTGGTGGAGGTAGTGGTGAGAGGAGTGGTGGAGGGTAGTAGTGGAGGGAGTAGAAGGTGTTGGGGGTGACGGGAATGAGCAGGGCCACAGAGGGTCATCTATGACGTCATGGGTTAGGAAGGTCATACGTCAGACGGATGCCACCAATCAGCGGCCAGGACAGTCGAGTACACTAACACATAATTATATCTCGTCCTGTCTCACCCACTCACCGGGGGAGGGAGGAGGGGGGGAGAAGAGGACCAGAGAGAAGGAGGGGAAGGGAGGAGGGGAAGGGAGGGGGAAGGGAGGAGGGGAGGAAGAGGAGCAGTAGAATCAACGAAGGAGAAAGAAGAGAACCAGAGAGGAAGAAGACCAGAGAGGAGGAAGAGGAGGGTAGGGTACCAAGAGAGGAGGGCGAAATGGTGGTCAGAGATGGTGACTAATGGTGACTTCAACAGCCCCCACAGGTGTGAATGGTGACGTAACCTCACCTCAATAGGATGCATCACCAAGATAACACGAGATAAAAGATGACGTGGTGATCACGATAACAATAGCCGTCGTGTTAACCTTATCTCACCCACCGGCGTCATGAGTCCTGCTTCCAAGTGTTATCTCGAGTCTAAACCACTTGAGTACGATTTTAAACCTCTTGAGTACGATTTTAACACCTTGGGTACGATTTAACACTCGGTACGATTTTAAACCTCTTGAGAACGATTTTAACACCTTGGGTACGATTTAAACCCCATGAGTACGATTTAAACCCCATGAGTACGATTAAACCCCATGAGTACGATTTAAGCCTCTTGAGTACGATTTTAAACCCTTGACAGTTTTAAGCATATCTGTCATAAATAATAAAACATAAAATAAAATTATAAACACAACCATTATCTTGTGTGTACATATTGTACGGACACACACACACACACACACACACGGTACACGTAACGCAGCAGCACCTAACTGT